AATTCTCTAACATGTGCCCTATGACAGACTTTAGCTTAATTTAACTCGAAGAAGAATTATTAAATGTTCCACTTTAGTGATGGAGTTATTATTATAAACAGTGAGATAATCCGCTGCTGATTGATCACGATTAGTAAAATATATCCAGGCACATTTTGAGTTAAGGATCATGAGTTAAGGATCATGAGGTTTAACTGATACTGCACTCAAAAAGTTAAGTATGTCAAATACACACTGAATCGGCACTTCCTGCTTGGGTGAGGACACATTGCTTTGCGTGTTTCTCGCACGGAGAGAACAAGGCACACTGTCTCATTCTATTATTTACTCTTTTTACTTATTAATAACGTGACACATCACTTTTCACTCTATTTGACTCACTAGCGAAATTTACACACTAACTAACACACTTTGGTTTTTGAGTGGGCTATCTACCTATGGAAAAGTTACTATTCAAACTTTGCAATCCGCATGGACGTTCAAAGAATCCTTCCAAAACTCTACCTTCTAAAAAGGTTTTTAAAGTTCATATTTTGTAGAAAAAATTGTCTCTCGATCTCTTCTTTAGAATGACAAAAACAACGAATATCTATTTTTTACTGTTCAAAAAACATCCAGATCTATTCTGCTTGAATTACATTACATAGCTCATGTAGGTAGTAGATTAATCTGATCTAATTGATCTATGACTAATTTATTGTTAATTCTCTAATAAATGTTCCTCGTTTGTCAAACAATTTATACACACTTCAGTGTAATTAGTGTTTTCTACTTTCTGTTCTCTATATGCTCATTGCTTACATAGTATTCTGTCACTTTTTTTCCTTTACTTTTTTGTTGGGTAAAATTCAAATCAAGAATAATAGTCTAACAGCAACTAATCGATGTATATTAATTTAACGACGTTTCAATTTTATTAAAAAATCATTTTCAATACAAATTTAACAAAGGCTGAATGAGGTATTTATACAATATTAGAACAGTTTTCTTGTACTTTCTTTACTTTTGTCCTTTCTGTACAGCATAAATCACAGTTAAAAGGATGATGTCATTTTTCTGTTCTATTCTTCTCTTTTCCACGATCTATAGGAAGAGAAAGCAGTGTTTTTGTAAATCCTCTGAAACTATTATGATAGGCATCAAATGCATTGTGCGATTCAAAGTAGGTTTAAGCAATTGGACAACTAAACTCTGTTTGATCAAAACACAACGCCACGGTCTTTGCAGACTTAAAGAACATCAAGGTGCCCCTAGATATTTGTTTAAACATGATGATTTCAGTTTGCTCTCAGGTGATAGATGCTTTTGAGTCACATTACACAATTAATCCTGTAAGAAAGAAACATCGGGTTGTTATAACTAGGGGGTGGACCATTACCCGTTACCGTTATCCCCGTTACTCTGGTAACGGTAATGATTTTGCGTTACCGTTACTAGTAAAGGATAACGATTCAAGCGTTATCGTTACTGTAACGGATAACGGTTAAATCAAATGAATGACTTTCAGGTTTGCTTAATATGAATTCTGACTTAAAATGTTAACTATGAGCATTATTCTTATATATAATTCATAATTCTTTTAATACTATCAAGACATACAAATCTCATTTTTCAGCATATTTTTCAAAGTCGAGTTATAGGTTTTCTAAAAATCCTCTGGGTTTTCAGATAATTTCCATTTTCCTAAGTTCAGAAGCACTTATATCAAAAAATCATATGATATTCCGAATCACTATGAAAAACGGCATCAATTAATGTAAATATGAAGTATTTCTGAATAGAAAAGTGTTTCGATCCAGTGTAATGCGACGGTTTTACCCAACAGCAGTTTTGACTTGGCACATGGATATGTGGTAGAAAAGTAGCACGAAAGCCTCTGAACGCTCTTTTATAGGTTTTCGTACGTACTCTTGTCAATGGCATGGTTTTCAAACTTTGAAAGTGTGTTAGTACGGATTTTCCAGAAATTCGGTCTTTAGAAAACTAGTGCGAGCATACTTTGGGAGTTTGAAAACCACGCCATGGAAAAGAGCATATACGAAAACCTATTAAAAGAGTGGTTAGAGCCTTTCATGCTACTTTTCCAGCACGATGTCCATGTGCCCAGTCAAAATTGTCTACTGTGTTTAATAGTCAAATACAGTCAGGCCGTTACCTGTTACAGTAACGGTAACGCTTCAATCGTTACCCTTTACTAGTAACGATAACGGGTAACAGTGCACACCCTAGTTATAACACCGTATTCTACAAATTCAAGATGATCACCCAAAATACGAAATCAGCAGCTATTATTAGCCTCTCAGATATAATTGATTCAACACCTTATTATTTAAACCTCTTTCAAAACAGATGACTTACATTATGCAACAGATAATGATCGAGAAAAAATGACATCTGTATTAGGTCAGCACGAGATGCATACATATCATATGATAGGCTAGAAGAACTTTGAAGTCATGTGAATAACCTTGAAAATGATCTTTTTAATAAAATTGAAACGTCGTTAAATTAATATATATTGATTAAATCAACGGTTGTAATATTATTATTATTCTTGATCACTTTTCTGCCTTTATGCTGTTAATAAACTAAAATGAGAAAGGATTCAATGAAGCATAACTTTTTAAACAGAGGCGCCTCCTTGCGCCTAGTTTGACGGCATACTTTCAGGTTGAGCTTAATATATATACTCTCGCGGGTTTTAAAAAGCATATCAGCTCTCTACCACTATAGACAAGTGGGAACTTGAAAGGACGAGCCTGAACATTACGGATTCCTAATTGTTGATGCACTGGAGAGAAAAAGTCAAAAAATAGAAAATGAAGTCATTCAATATGCAGGTCGAAAACCTATCTGACAAATAATCTGATAATTGACGAATAACATAAATTATCAAGATGAAAAACAGCCATTCTTCAAGGTATGTACGACAGATGCTACATCAGCTACAGTTGAATTTACTTCGTTACAAATGAGTTGGTTTGAAAGGGATGTGTTCTAACACGTGTTAGAAGAAAACATTCAAATGGGAATGCATCATGTAAGAGCAGAGTAAAAGAAAAATCCATGTTTTGATGTCATGTTTCCTTCATCGAGATTATGGTATACACTGATAAACATCTAGATAGCACTCATCAAATCATTTCTAACTATAAAAAGAAAAATTAGTTGATTAACCCATGTTGTATAAACCGCGCGAAAACCATCAGTTAACGGCGGTTATTCCAACTGAAACCCTAGCAATACAGCATAAAAACCGCCGATTAAGCGCCTAGTTAACCGGAAATAACCGTGGGTAATGGACCATTTTTCCGGTTAACTGGGCGCTTAACCGCCGGTTTTATGCTAGTTTCAGCTGAAGTAACCGCGGTTAACCAATGGTTTTTAAAATAACCGCGGTTAACCGACGGTTTACACAACATGGGAAGATACGCTGCAACTAATTCTAAAAACTTAATTAGGTTAAAGCACACCTTCGATAAAATGCATCTGAATTTGTTTTTCCTTTTCGCTCTCTGTTATAAAAAAATATAGACATCAGGTATAACGCTACTAAGAATACACGTGCAGAACCAATCCAATAAAAAATAAAATAGAGGTTACGTTACTTTGCAATTGCGATTTATTAGTTGTATGACACGCTAGTCGAAGCTTATCCCAACCAAATCAATCTTGACTAGTTAGTAAATATCTTACTTTCGAATTACACGAAAATAAGTCACACACTGCACTAATCACTATAATTAGAGATGCACCGGTTACGGTTAACCGATGAGCGGTTGTAACCTATACCGGTTGTAACCTATACTGATTGTAACCTACACCGGTTGTAACTGATAGTTATAATTCGTGTTCTCAGAGAAGTTTTATGACTCATAAAACTTCTCTGACAACACGAATTATAACTATCAGTTACAACCGGTATAGGTTACAACCGATAACCGGTTATAACTGCTATCGGTTGTTCAGCTATAACCGTAACCGGTGCATCTCTAACTATAATCAACAAATTTATAAGTTTTAACGTTCAGGAGTTACCGCTGAGTATGTGCTCAGTGAAACTCGAAGCCAGTAAAGAGTGGGCCAGAATTACTGGAACGAGTTGACTACTAAACACTACTGAAATGTTTCAATAATTCTGACCCACCCTTTATATGCAAACCATGAAAATCCGGCTTAAGTCACTAGTATCGATTGGGACGTGTAGTCTAAAGTAGCACATTATATCCAAACTCATATTGATACCAGCGGCTGAAACCTACCCTGGTGGAAGATACGTGCAGTGTGTCCGAAAGGAAAACATTTCTCAGCCAGTTCTGCTGCCGAAAATCAATATTTTTATGCTCAGATATACGTATGACTGCCTGTTCCCTGGATCCATCAATGGAACGATTGTGGATTCCGCAACAAAAAAGTTTATCCGATGTTTAACCAACTTTCCGTATTTTTGCATTAGCCGTTGCATTATTTAGCCATTAACTATCTCTCTGACAAAATTAAGTCCACTTATACAAAAAGAATTCAGAACCATGTACCTTGACTAACTTCAGCTAATGAGCAGAAATTATGAAACCAATTAAAAGAAAGGCGCTATACCTTCTAACTTGACAACAAAATGGAACTTTCATAAATCTTAAAAATATGATGTAACTGTTGATTAAAACTGAAAGTTTTCTCTTTTTCTTGTAGAAAATATTTGAAAGTACTAACGACTGAAGCGGCATGTTGAGTTTGTGTGGTGATATCTTAGTAACCCATCGGACCTAAGCCAGGAAATTGTAAACTGGAGTAATCATACGTATGCTTAACGAAAATTTTCCCTAATTCGCGTGAAACAACTCTTTCTGGAGCTGTTAGGTGAGCTATATATTTTGGAGTCTCACGATGACATTGCTTGATGCATATGCTCTAATTTTAAAAAAGTATGATGCGATGCCTAAGCCGTTCTGTAACAGCATCACAATTTTTTTTGTTTGTTTCCAGATATTTTAATGCCATTGATGGATAACGTGAGAGTTTTCAAGCAACAGGCAATGCTTGATGATTGTCAAAAACTTCTGGGTCAAAAATACAAATTAGATAAAGCAGATAAATATGGTATCACACTGGTAAAATAGGACTCATTTAAAGATCACCTATCTGATTGAAAGTCGTCGAGATTTTTATTTACTCTTTCTGTCTGAGGACAGTTAAAAAAGAAAAAAATAATGAGAAATATTCTGTTCTGGAGAATACTGTAGATATAACGATATTTTCTTCTCTTTTCTCCTTTTATGAACGTGTTTTCTATACTGGCGTAATAGATCGTCTATATCTTTACCTCTGAACACGTAAAAAATTTTCTTTTAAAGAGAAAAATAAAGTTCATATTACATAGTTCGTGTTTTTATCCTTTATACACTTTATGTAACGCAAAATCATAAACTGCCACTGCGGTTGTGAAAGTTTTTGTTCTCCTTGCATGTTAGAATTTTGTTATTTATTATAGTTGCACATTGCTGCTACAAAGTCTTATGAAAAAGTTGTCCGATTATTAATTAATAATTCAGTTAATGTTGACGCTATAGATGAGACAGGTGCAACAGCACTTCACTTAGCAGCAAAACATTCTCAGGTAAGAGTTACGTTGTATTTATCTGAAAAGGCGTTTAATGTCCGTTGAATCGCACACATGATGTCCGTCTTCTAGCAGTATTGATCTTTTTTAAATAAATACAGAAGCTTTTTTGTCCTTTGAGAGATGAATTTCTATTGTTATAATAACTATTTCAGGGTTTAATTATAAAATTACTTCTTGACGCCGAAGCGAACCCTTGTCTTATAGATAAATTTGGACGCAAGCCTAGTGGTAAGACAAAAGCACATATTTTATTCTTGTTTCAATTTTTTGTACAAAAACTTTTCGTAGAAGTTGCACGTGAAACAGTTATTCGTCTGGCATTAATTCGAGCTGAAGAAAAGTACAAACGATACGAACAAAGTGAAGATTCTTTAGAAGAAGATCAAGAAAATTCTCAAACAGAAGATGATGACAAACGATTATTCACGATATTGGAGTGAGTCAGAATAACATCTGTTGGCATAGTACAAACATTTCTTACTTATACGAAGAGCGGAAGAAAGCGAAGAAGTGTTTTAATAATCTTAATGACAATTTTTTCAGCAAAATTCGCGTTTCAGATAACTATACAATTTTCAGAATCTATATCATTTTCTATCTGACAAGTGTTTCTGGAATGTTTCTGAAAGGATTTCTCGAAAATCCTAAATCCAGGCTTTTTGAAACTTCGAATCTGTCTATCTTAAGCGAATTTCAATCAAGCTTCTTCTCAAATATATAGAGAAGTTTATTTCTAAATGACTGACATGTTGAGCAGAGTAACCAAAACTAAGTGAAGAATCTTTCTCTAAACTGTAGAGAACATTAAACTACAGCTGTATTTATTGTTTTTCTAGAAAATGGCCTAAGAAAAGTGCAATGACGATTGAAACTCAACATTTACCTTCTGAGCAAACAAATATCTGTTTGAAAGACAAAGTTGAACAAAATTTGGACATCGACATCTTTCATGGTACATCAACTGGATACGAATCGGTAAGAAAATCTTCTGGCTTGAGAGAAACGAGTTTTGTATATCAACTCGATGTAGTTTCACGATCTGACTGATCTACTGAGGAATGATATTGTGTTGAATATGTAGTTTCTCGTAAATTTGATTAGTACATCAACAACAAATACGAAAATTTATTTGCTGTTTCTGTTAATATCAGTTTGAAGGGTCGTTTTAATTTGATTAGCATTCGTAGAAAAATACAAACTATGCTTATAATTATTTTCCTTCTCATTACGTGTTTCATCTCTTATGTTTTTGTTTTCAATCATCCCATCTTCTCATGTAATGAAAAGTAACTCATCTAGAGTAATTCGCAATACAAAAAAAAACATTCTTTCTCTCAATACTTATTGATAAAGGTAAAACTGTGTACATCAAATTGTTTTAAACTGAACGAACAAAAATGAAGGTCTTGTCTTATTTCGAGTGTATAAATGAACATTTTGTCGCTAAAATACTCAAGTCAACAATTGTGTGAGCATGTAATCTTCAATGGGTGACAACACTAAACTTTCTTTCTCTCTTTATATGTATGTGTTCTCTCGCCTTTAAATTCCTTTTACTTTCGATTTAATGTATTTCTTAATGAATGCGATACATTTAACACACTAGTTAAAAATTAATTTAACAAGTTAATCTTAACTTATAAAAATTGAATACTTGTACGAATATTGAACAGAGTTATAAGCGTGTGCTATTTTTCTTCTTTTCTTTTTCTGGTCAGATTTGTCATGAATGACAGCGACTCGTACACTCTCATTTTCTTTTGAAAATAAAACTTTTTAAATGGGTCCCATTGTTTTGATACAAGACATTTTAATTCTTGAAAACTATTATAATCAAAATAGGAAGATCAGCGATGAATATTCGAACGATACAGAAGTGGTAAGTATTTGGATCTTCTACTAAATCTGTCCATAGTCTATTTTTCTCGTTAGTGATTTAATATGTGATAAGTCTTTGAAAAAAGCATTGCTTGTCATAACTGTTGTCAATTTTTTCAGCTAGATAAAGTTATTAAAATAAAACCAAGTGCTGACATCGTCTTTGTGCAGGATTTTCTTCTT